GGATTACAATAAGGATTTAGAATAAGGGGATATATTAAGGGGTTAGATTAAGGGATTAACATAAGGGGATAGAATTAGGATTTAGATTAAGGGGTTAGAATAAGGGATTAACATAAGGGGTTAGAATAAGGGGATAGAATAATGGATTAACATAAGGGGATAGATTAAGCGGTTAGAATAAGAGATTAGAATAAGAGATTAGAATAAGAGGATAGAAAAAGGGGTTAGAATAAGGGGATAGATTAAGGGATTAGAATAAGGGGTTAGAATAAGGGGATAGAATAACGGGTTAGAATGAGGGGATAGGTTAAGTGGTTAGAATATGGGATTAACATAAGGGGATATAATTAGGATTTAGATTAAGGGGTTAGAATAAGGGGATAGATTATGCGGTTAGAATAAGAGATTAGAATAATAGGATAGAATAAGGGGTTAGAATAAGGGGATAGAATAAGGGTAGTGCGTAGCTGCCGGAAATCTATTGAAGATTTTCGAAGTCTCGAAAACCTTCAATAGGTTTCCGAGATCGTGAGCTTTTTGCATTGCTTTTGAAGGTTTCGAAGAGCTCGGAAACCCTTTCTCGGAAACCTATAAAGGGTTTCATATAGTGGCAAACCCGGAAACTTTCTATAGGTTTCCGACAAAACCTTTTTTTTTTAGGGTCCATTTCTCAATGTTGATCAACAATAAAATAAATACTATGGTAGTAACGAAACCCACTATCCATCATTTTTCGTTACACCAGTCATTTTAGTTCTTTTCGTTCTTGCCCTTGCGAGCAAGTAGTGAGATAAACGTTGAGTATTATTTCTAGTTATGTCGGTTCGACTTGTCTAGTCTTTATTTCAAAAAGCCCTATTCCGGACTAGTCTGTAGGTCTTGTATGTCCTTAAACTCAGTCTTAAATCCACCACTGACAAGTATCAGCACACGTATCTTATCTAGTCTTGTTCGAGTAAAAGAACCGTCTCGGGTTACTTTAGTGTCGATTCTCTCGCGGACAAAAAAAACGGCCTTTTTCGATTTCACTTTTGCGTCGCTTTACACTTTGTTTTAAAAAAACAAAATACACCACAAGATGCAGCGTGAAAAGAACTACAGCCTACAAAGTAAAGCTTATTTTATTTGTGTGCTTTTTGCTTTCGAAAAAAAGCAAAATCCTGTGCGCCCAATTTTCGACGCTGCGAAAATATAATTTTTTTTATGCCAAGGAGAAATTCCTTTTTTTTATTTCATCGTTTTATCACCTAATGTGCTTTTCTGAAAAAAAACAAAATATACCAGAAGATGCAGCGTGAAAAGCTCTATATTTTACATAGAACAATTTATTCCAATACGAAGAAAAGAATTTCTCGTTCGTGTAGAAAAATGAATTTTTTCGCAGCGTCAGACATTGGTCTCACAGAATTTTGCTGTTTTTGAAAATGACAAGTACATAATTTAAATAAGTTTTACTTTGTAGATTGTAGAATTTTTCACGCTGCATCTTCTGATATATTTTGTTTTTTTTTTCACACAAACATACTAGTTGATAAAAAGATGAAATAAGAAAAAAGGAATTTCTCGTCGCATAGAAAAACAGATTTTTTCGCAGCGTCGAAAATTGATAGCACAGGATTTTGCTTTTTTTGAAAGCAAAAAGTGCACAATTAAATTAAGCTTCACTTTGTAGATTGTAGAGTTTTTCACGCTGTATCTTCTGGTAAATTTTGTCTTTTTTTCAGGAAAGCACATTAGGTGATAAAAAGATGAGATAAGATGAGGTAAGATAAGATAAGAAAAAATGATATTTTCGCAGCGTCGAAAATTGGGCGCACAGGATTTTGCTTTTTTTCGAAAGCAAAAAGCACACAAATAAAATAAGCTTTACTTTGTAGGCTGTAGTTCTTTTCACGCTGCATCTTGTGGTATATTTTGTTTTTTTAAAACAAAGTGTAAAGCGATGCAAAAGTGAAATCGAAAAAGGCCGTTTTTTTTGTCCGCGACAGATTAGATGTCCAATTGTTTTTAAAGATTCAGAGTAATTCTGAAGGAAGTCTTTTTTAGGCAAAGACTATTATCCATTTCAAAATAAAAGAACGGTGATTGGTTTTTGAATAATTCCTTAACGCTAATAGCTATCAGTATTCAATTTTCACCATTAGAAAGAGGTGAATATGCTGTATCTTCCTATATCATAGTTAAAAAAGTCACAGACTTAATTTGATAAGCAACCAATGATATTCAAAATAGAAGCTCAAATGATATAAAAGCTTTATGAAATTTTAACTTTAAAGTGTTCATTAGATTTGCCAACTCAAGATCTACAATTCTACATCAATCCAAAAATTTTATTTGCTTGTATCTGAAAACTATACGCTCAACATTGATCATCAACAATGCTTGGAAAAGTCTGTTGCGATTATTTTTTCAAATTTTCCTAATTCTATATCTATCATTTAGTAGTTAAATTTTCGAGCATTCTGGATTGAATGAAACTGTTCGTATTGTAAAAAAACTATCATTTGTCATGTAGAGCCAGTGCTAATCATGTTACATCACATACGAAGGCCTCCTCCCTCAAAATTCGATCTCAGGCTAGGAGCGTTCGAATGGCATGACATTTTCGGGATATGTTGGAACTGATGAACCATGACTATGGTAAAGTTTTCAATCCTGTACCATGAGGTTTGACGGAGATACCGGCCAAACAAGGATCAGAAAATAGCTAATTTTGTCTCCAAAATTTTTCTGTGGTCTTTAGTCTGTACATTTAATATTATTCTTTTTGTTTGAAAGAGTATGTCAGAATGCAGTGCCTATGAGAGCCCTTGTTGTTAAACTCTTACTTTTTAAGGGAAAAAAGGGGTCGAAAGTTCAAAGACTCAAAAAACCTCTCCAAAAATGGTGCTCTACTTATATAAAGGTTCGTATATATAATAAAAGCAAAGTTTAATAAAAAAACAACTGGCTTTCATAGGCATTGCAGTTTTACACGCTCTTTCAAACAAAAAATAACTATTGGCTACAATGAAGCTCCTTCGAGAAATCTTGGAGATGCGATCGAGAATCTATAAAATGAAAAAAATCGAAAAGATTTTCGGTTTTTTTCAAAAGCAGCTTGTTTTTCGAATAGGAGATGAAGGAAATCTTTAAAAAAATTTGCAAAAAAAGAACGTGCCGAGTAAAACTTTTGTCGTTTATGAGAGATCCGATGACAGACTATCTTTTCCTGCTTTATCTTCATTTTATTGATTTTGACGAAGAGTGACTTTTTTGAGGGGGATTAAGTGTTACAGTCGCAAACTATAATGACATAACATATTCCTATATGTTGAATATCTCATAAGTATGTTGAACTAGGCATGTAGTTATTGTCAAATCGATGATTAGTAACACGAAACAACACAAGAAAAATATTTTATTATTTTTGATCTTTTGTCAATATAGTAGAATGACCAGAATGATCACGTTCTCGTGATGATTTAGCGACAGGCATAAATGTGGTCATAGTAGTATTGAATGTAGCATTAACTGATGATGATGACGTTGATGATGATGATCTGATGCGTAGATTGCGAAGCCGAAGAGTAGCTCGAATAGCTGCATCTTCTTCATCTCCGTGTTTTGTTTCCACTTCTTCTGTATTTCAATCAAACTGTTTTGTTTTTCTAAAATCTCTCTTTTCCTTGTTCTCATATTTCTCTCTTTAGTCTTTCCGCTGATTACATTGAAATACCAAGAATACATATGATACGGTGATTTACATTGTTCAATGGAATTAAACAACTATCTTTGTCATATTCCATAAATTTAATCATATTAAAGATTATCTGCTTCATGTCATGTGAGTAATCATGACCTGTGGGCATTTTATCGATAAACGAACTTCGCTTGAATTAACCGATACAATCTGTCTTTTTTGTTTTCATTGAATTGTGCAGCAGAAATATCAACTTAGGCGTTTAGTATAGCGAGAAGAAAAAAAATCATCTCCTATTCATACGCGCTACAAGCTTCTAACCGCACCGAAAAGACAATATCTCCTAGGTGACACGCTATCGGCGAAGAGTAGACGGGAAAGAAAATTTTGTGTGGCCTCAATATTAAAACAGTCGTATCTCTAATTCAATCAGACATACTTACGAGATATTCAACATATAGGAATATATTAGGTCATTATACTTTGCGACTATGATACTTAATATGTGATGTAACACGATTAGCACTGGTTTTACATGACAAACGATGGTTCCTTTACAATGCGAACAGTTTCATTCAATTCAGAATACTCGAAAATTTAACTATTAAATGATAGATATAGAATTAGGAAAATTTGAAAAAATAGTCGCAAAAGACTTTTCCAAGCATTGTTGACGATCAATGTTGATCGTATAGTTTTCAGATACAAGCAAATAAAAATTTCGGATTGATGTAAAGTTGTAGATCTTGAGTTGACTCATCTAATGAACACTTTAAAGTTAAAATTCCATAAAACTTTTATATCATTTGAGCTTCTATTTTGAATATCATTGGTTACTTATCAAATTAAGTCTGTGACTTTTTTAACTATGATATAGGAAGATACAGAATATTCACCTCTTTCTAATGGTGAAAATCGAAGACTGATAGCTATTACCGTTAAGGAATTATTCAAAAACCAATCACCGTTCTTTTATTTTGAAATGGATAATAGACAGGTGAGTTTGATATGAAGTTCAGTCAGAATATAGTTCAAAATTGAAAAACGAAGACTACCAAGGATTGTTAACATGACACACTTTAATGAGATTTACTGAACTAGTCTGAATTCGAATGAGTCTAAATCTAAATATATTATAAGATGACGATTGGATCTTATTATCGAAGACTCAACTCTACATCTCGATAAACATTTGTAGATACTGTTTAATCGAATTCTACTCGGATGTTTTTGAAAACTTTTATATAGATAAAAAGGATTTTTTAGTCAGAAATTGCATATTGTAAGCTCAAATACGATTATTTTTTTTTTGTGAAAAAATCATTTTTCTTAAGTTTTAGTGAATATTAATGATTGTGAGCAAACACCATATGGAAAATAAATTAGCAATTTTTTAAACTGAAGAAAAACTAGTATATATAGGCATCATGATTTTATTTTATCTAAAATTAAGTTGATCCGTTTTAAACCTAGAACTTGAATAAATTTGTTCAATCTTAATTAATTCTTAAATAAAACTAATCACGATGCTTATTTAAAGTTAAATGAAATGATGACACAAAAAATATTTATATTATTTTGGAGTTAGCGTTAATCTTTTCTTTGTTAATACTCACACACACACAACCCTTACTTATTCTCGACCAGTTGTGATTGGCTAGCAAATGAAGAAATGCCTCTCTGCTACTTGCACTGTTAAAGCTGACGTCAATCTATCTCTGAGGCTTGATCTACTGTGAATATATCCGTCACTTGTTGAATGCAGACAGGTCAGATGTTCAAATTCATGTTTTGTCTGTGTCTTTTACTCCTTTTCTGTTCTATGGACTAATCTCAATAAACTATATAAACAACGACCTAGACATGCCAAAGTTTAAGGACTTTCTAGACAAGTCTACATATCGTTGTACGACTTTTGTTATCCGGAGGCCTAGTCATGACGGGTATTGTCCACACTTCGGACTGATCATGTCGCCCGTCTTCAATGAATGTTTGTCGGTATTAGTCTTGCTTTCAACTATACCTGTACCTACACCCAATATCAACGTACCCTATCCATACCGGCACCTACACCACTCAATTTTTAATTTATTCCGTAGCTTCCAATTTTCATTACCAATAAGTCGCAACTATTTCGATGAGAACTTAATCGTTTTTCTTTGATAGGAACAATCAAAGTTCAATGCAATTAGTTTCAACTTCAATTGAGCCTAAACACAGAAAAAGGTCTACAAGCGTTTGCAACTACTATATAGTCGTGATACATCTGTTTATTCTATTTCTACTGCTCGTTGTATTTAATTACTTCTCCACCTTCCAATGGTCTCATATTTATGT